AGACCCCCAAAACTCAGATTGGCCTCTACCTCCATGTTTGGCAAGAGGGTCGGAGTTGGGGTGGGGCTGGACAGTTGACCTTAACAGCCGTCAACTTCCAATACATGGTTCTCAGAGCAGTCATTACTGAATGCCGGTGGGTACATCTTCTCTTTCCTTTTGAAATTTACTATTAATATTTTAAGTTGTAAACAACAACAACAACAACAACAAAAATGTAAATGAGGTTAAAATTAAAAAGTCAAAGACAATTTTATTCAGGTGGAGAATAGATTTGCAAATCAGGAAAATGCAGGCTCAGTTAGACCAAACCAGTGCCACAGAAGAACAGATGGCTTGGGCTTTTATCAAGTCCAGCAGTTGGAAACTGATGCAGATAAGGATGGTGTTTCTCAAACCTTGCAAGGTATTGTTAGATTCTGGAAAATATTTCCCTCTGGCTGACTCAGGTCCTGACACAATGTCTGCATGGCAGGCAGTCTTCCTCCTGCCAGAAAAATCTCCAAGGCACAGGAAAGGGTTTTGCTCTCTCTTAAAAAACAAAAAACAAAACAACAACAACAAAAACCTGTAGTCATTTGACTTTTATCAAAGTGAACATAGGAAAAAATAAAACAGAACAATGAACACAATGCACCCTGAGTCACCAACCCACTCTAACATTTCAGACCCTTGTCTCAAAAGAATAATACTACAATTTATGGTAGGTCTTTCTAGAAATTATATACCTATATTCCATATTCAAATGGAAGCATATATCCTTCTGTATTTAATAGACTTGGACAATGTTTCAATATCAACATGTAGATATGTTGATATTGAAACATTATTATGTTTCAATAATTATTAACATTATTATTAACAATAATTAACATAATTATTAACATTATTATGTCTTATTATTATTATTCTGGGGGCACTAGGTACTGAATTCAGGGGGCACTAGGTACTGAGCCACATCCCCAGCCCTTTTTTTWAAATATTATATTCATTGTTGATTTATTTATTTATATGTGGTGCTGAGAATGGAACCCAGCACCTCCCACATGCTAGGCAAGCGTTCTACCACTGAGCCACAACCCCATCCCCTGCTCTTTAAAAAAAAATTTTTTTTTAAATTGTGAGACAGGGTCTTACTTAATTGCTTAGTGCCTCACTAAGTTTCGGAGGCTGGTTTTGAACTTGTGATCCTCCTGACTCAGTCTCCAAAGTTGCTGTGATTATAGGTGTGCACCACCTCTCCCAGCTTGACTTCCTATTTTTAAGCACTGCGTAGATTGCATGTTCCCAGATTAATCTAACCACTTGGGGTGATTTCACCATGACCATCCTTAATTCACCACACTGTCCTGCAAGGCCCAACCTGGTCTTCTTGTGCAGGACTTCACCATGATTTTTGCTAATGTGACAGTTTTTATTCCTTTCTATGGAACTGTGAAGAGTGGGTGGTGCCTTGCTCCGTTGTAGACTTCAAGAGTGCATAGCCCTTTGTTACTCTATGTTATAAAGCAACAGTTTGCCATGAGCTACCCCATTTTGATTACAAGTACCAAAGCAAAATGGCTGGGTTAACTTGTCTGGGCAAGATAGCCATCAGATATTGAATATACAGAAGTTATTGAAAGAATAACCCCCAGCTGCACAGCACAATCAGAAGACATAAATTAGCTGGGTGCAGTGGTGCACATTTGCAATCCCTGTGACTTGGGAGGTTGAAGCAGAAGGATTGCAAATTCAAGCCAACCTCAGAAACTTAGCAAGAACCTGTCTCAAAATAAAAATTAAAGGGCTGGGGATGTGGCTCAAGCGGTAGCGCGCTCGCCTGGCATGCGTGCGGCCC